AGGCTTTATGACCAGGAATAAGAATTTGTCTGTAAGAACACCCGAAGCAACAAGTTTGGCCCGAAGTACAAGCTTCAATAAAACAAATGTCAGGAACTTTTTCAAGAATCTAGAAGATGTTATGAAGAGATATGAATTCACTCCAGACAGAATATATAATTGTGATGAAACAGGTTTCACTACTGTTCACAAACCCCCAAATGTCATTTCTAGAAAAGGGGAAAAGCAAGTAGCCCAAGTGACTTCTGGTGAAAGGGGGCAGTTAGTTACTGTTCTTTGTTTCATAAATGCGATGGGAAATGCATTGCCCCCTGCATTTGTATTCCCAAGAGTTAATTTCAAGGATTTTATGCTGGCAGGAGCGCCTGCTCAAAGTCTTGGACTAGCCCATCAGAGTGGCTGGATGACAGCTGAAAATTTTTTAAAGTGTTTGCAACATTTCTCAAACTTTGCTGGGACATCTACAAGCAATAGCCATACAGTACTCCTAATTTTGGACAATCATGACAGCCACATTTTTATTGAATCAATAAAATTCGCCAAAGAAAACGGAATAGTGCTGCTAACTTTACCTCCACACACCAGCCAGCGACTGCAGCCACTGGATGTTGCCATCTATGGACCATTGAAAAGCAGATACAATGTTGCTGCAAACAACTGGATGATCAATCATCCCGGCAAACCTATGACGATTTATGATGTCCCTGCTCTTGTTAGCGAGGCGTTTGATGCATCTCTTACACGAAACAACATTTTATCAGGTTTTGCAAAGACTGGAATATACCCGTTCAATAGTGAAGTTTTCACAGATGACGACTTCCTGCAAGCTGAAGTTACTAATCGCCCTGATCCAGAAAATCCACCCACAGCCGTAACACCAATGGCATCCGCTTCCACTTCTGATGTGCCTACTACATCTTCTGTGCCCAAGACACTTCCTGTTTGTCCTCAAGCGTCTACAAGTGGAACAAGCGTTCTTTCACCTCAGCTTGTCAAACCGTTCCCAAAAGCTTCTGCACGGAAAACAGCGAAATCTAACAGAAGAGGCTCAACAAGGATTCTTACTGATACTCCTGAAAAAGATAAAATCCAGCAAGCATTCCAGGAAAAAGAGGCGAAGAAGCGAAAGAACGAGTCCAAAGAAAGGAGGACAAAATCTAAAAAGCAGCTGTTGCAACATATTCCAGAAGAAACTGAAAGTGAAGATGAAGGATCTCAAAGCAGCTCTTCCTCAAAGTCTGATGCAACATCGAGTGAGGGATCTGATATTGAAAACAGTGTCAAACATATTCAGCCCAATGATTTCATTTTAGTCAGATTTGCAAAAAAAACTTCTGTTGTTTACTTCGTGGGAAAAGTTTTAAAGAAACTGAGTGATGAAGACTTGAAAGTCAAGTTTATGAAAAAAATATTAGGATGTTACAAGTTCATATTTCCTGAAGAGGATGATATCAGTGATGTCACCATGGAAGATATAGTTTTAAAGCTACCCCATCCATCCCAAGCAGGAGGAACGGCAAGAGCAAGCAAACAGTTTATATTTTCCATTGATTTCACCTCATATCGGCTGGGATAGATTGCGAAAAACATTCTATTGACCAAAGAAAGACAGTTTAATTATGTGAGAGCCTACTAATTGTGATATTCTTTAGTTATTGTTCTTTGTTTGAAAATATTTGATATTCTTTAATTGTTTTAAAAATATTGATAATCTTTAATTGTTTTAAAAGTATTGATAATCTTTAACTGTTTAAAATAAATGTGATGTCACATAATTCATATTATTAAAAGTGTAATTTTTAAAAATTTTAGTCTCTAGCCTATCACTTATCAGTTACAACAAAATTTGAAAACATTGAGATAACTAATTCCAAGTTTTACATTAAAACACAGGTAGTCCCTTTCATCCCCGAGTGTGTCCCTTTCAACCCAGACATGGGAATGAAAGGGACACTTGGAGAGGTCTTTAAAAATATGAACATGTTCAACTACCAATATAATAGGATGAATTCACAATATGGTCAGAACAAAGTAAAGGTTTAATGAATCTTTTGCACTAAAAATAAAACTGATTAGAAGTAAACTTTTCCAGTGAAAAATAAAAATATGAATTTTGTCCCTTTCATCCCCACCCTCCCCTATGTATCTTATTACAAATTTCTATACTACATGTGAAAAAAAAAAATAAGATTGCTATTGTATATTTGAATATTAGTGGCGTAGTGGAAGCGCTGTATTGTCAGCTTCCAAAAAGCCAGATTCGCACATGCGCTTTACAGAGCATCAACCTCACCCGGTTTAGCTGGTGGAGGCCTAGGACCTTGGGTGGAAGCTACACACGTATAACGCTTCCAATTCTATCCAGGACCAGTTCTGGGCTGTTAGCCGCCCTCGCCCGATTATGTGAATCATGAGTAGATTGATAACTTAACCCAACCAATAAGAATTTACTGGTATGTTTTTATGATAGTTCTGTATAGTTGACAGGAGTTTTAAAAAAATCCATTAAAATATTTGATATTTTTATTCTGCTCTCCAATCTTATATTATTTACAGATTTCAATGTTAAACCAGTGATATTACGATTTCGTACGTCCCATCTATAAGGGGATGTAGAAAAAACCTGTACAATTCTTGTACAATGTTTAAAAATTAACTGTTACTTTGATAGCGTCATTTACAACTGAATTTAATGAATGAGAGAGATGCACTATGTACAGAAAAAGCTCTAGAATTTATTTTTCTTAAATTTATGATTATTGTATCCGTTGTCATAAAAATTTGTCTTTCCACTTTTTTCCCCGAGACTACAAATACAGTCGACCCCCCTATAACAGGTTCCTATGGTTCGGATTCCTATATCACGGCGAAAAAATTGCGACAGTATTCATACAAACATGCTAAAAAAAACTCGTATAATTCGGTAAAACGTCATCGTCGACTCGTGTCGCGACAGGATTAGTCGAATCTAGACCAATAGCGGATATTGTACAAACGGTTGAGTTTAAACGAGCAGCGGACCTACTAAAAACCATTTATTATTTAACGTCCATAAAAATTATATTTATATTAATGATGTCTCCAAAGTTCAGCGAATTTATCGCAAAAAAAAAAAATATAATTTATCAGGAAGCACGCGAGCGCTATTCGATGACAACCTCCACGACGTAAACAAGCTTAAGCAATGGCGTAGTCGAACGGTGCACACTCGGTAAGTAATCCTGCGATTTTTTGTTTATAGCATAGTTTATATGGATTATTCCCAAAAAATTATACGTATTTTACGAAATGTTGAGTCGAATTAGTCTAGAATCGATTCATTTTATGGACGAAGCCTTTCAAACAGCCGTAGTCCGTAAACTGCATACGTGCCGGGCTGTGATTGGCTGGACTCGTAGAAAATGGATTCATAAAAACCGGAACATATCTACCGTGTTATAGTGACTGTATTCACATACAAAGTAACCTGTTTCGACTTATTTCTACTTAAGTAGTAGTTAAATAATTATAGCATAATCAGATACAAATTAAACAGCCCCAGAAGTGTGGGACTGGTAGCCTATTTAATAATTTTATTGTTACCTATAAAATTGTTTTAGGAGTATTAAAACTGAACCAGTCCTAAAATTTTTATATATGCTATATCATAAACGTTTGGCTTTTTCCATAATTTATAAATTATTAAATAAAAATTATGTAAACAAATTTTCTTTTAGCTTATGTTATGTGAGGTAATATCATAATAATACAACATATTATATATTTGTAAGAATTTCAAACATTTAAAATCTCAGAAAGTCAAAAGGAGTGGATATCATTTTCCTTTTGGCAATTCCTAATTATGTATAAAATAATAAATAATGCTAAAACAGGAAAACACGTCTAGCGTATATACGACTGTAGTCGAGTTAGTGTATGTTCATATTGAAAGATAAATAAATTATATGAACCCCCTTGAAATTATATTGAAATATATGAACTATATTGAAAGATAAATACATTATATGAACCCCCTATAATGCGGGTTCATATAATGCGGATTCGTATATCGCGGCGAAAAAATTGCGACCGTATTCGTATAAAGACGCTAAAAGAGACTCGTAAAATGCGGTAAAACGTCATCGCCGACTCGTGTCACGACAGGATTGGTCGAATCTGGACCAATAGTGGACGAGCAGCCGAACTACTTACACGCTACAGAGAGTTTAGGCGGATAAGTTGAGTTTACTATCGTCTGTACAGTATATAAATTAGGTACTGTAAGTCTAATACAGTACTGTAATTTTATACATTTCTTGTGAAAAGAACATTTCTTATTCAACGGTTATAAAAATTATTTCTATTAATGATGTCTCCAAAGTTCAACGAATTTTTCGCAGAAAAATAACTTGTCAGAAAACGCGGCCGCTGTTTGGTACGCTGCTCTGCGACGAAAACAAGTTTAAGCAATGGCGTGGTCGAACAGTGCACACTCTGTAAGTAATCCTACAATTTTTTGTTTAAAGCATAGTTTATACGTATTATACCCAAAAAAGTATACGTGTTTTGGAAATGTTGAGTCAAATTAGTCTAGAATCGATTAATTTTATGGAAGAAAACCTTTCAAACAGCCATAGTCCGTAAACTGCACACGTCTCGGGCTGTGATTGGCTCATGTATTTAAGGATTCTTACAACGCGAAATTCTTATAAAGCGGAACGTATCTACCGAGTTATAGGGGGTCGACTGTAATAGATCTATAAACAATAGAAATTAGTATAATACAGTAATGAAAATGGCTTTTGTTTCCTGGAAATATATTGATAATATCTACTTAATGTTTTCTTTGCCGAATTACTTTTGTATGTCTTGCTATTTCGTAGCGAAGTTATGGAAGTAATACGCTTTATGACAAATTTCGATGAATATGATAACATAGAAATTAATAATAACAATTAAATATAAATCTTTTTATATAATATTTTTAAAAGTTGTTAAATTAAATGTAAATCTATTTTTACCTGTAAAGGCAACTCTTGAAACGGATCATTATCATCACTTTTGTTGAAAAGTTGAAGAACGCCTCCATCCGAAAGACGAACGTATACCTTTTTCCAAAATCTATTTCCTGTTATTTTCTTTTTGTTTGGTTGGCGGAGCATCATTTCCCAACCTTCTCCTTCAAATTTTGCTGGAAATTCTTCTAATGGTTGTGAGGTATCCTCATCGAATAATGGTGTTGTTGGGCTTTCTAGGGATTCGGGTTGTTTCTTTTCTGTTATTTCTTCTGTAGTTTGTGGTTTTGCTTCTCCGAATAGCGAATCCTGTTCGATTACGGCGGGTTGTTCTTCTTGAGTTGCATCTTCCGATGACACGTCGAAACCAACATCAAAAGGGTTAAATTTAGATGAAACAGGTGGTACGGGACTCTTTGGAGGCGTTTTTGGAGGCGGAGGTAGTACCGGTGGTGGACCCAAAGAAATAGTGGTTTCTATTTTTTCTTTCATTTTTGGTCTAATAACAACTGAAAAATCAGGCCCTTCATCATCATCAAATGAATCTTGTGACGTCTCTTTTTGAGGTGGAAGGCGAGTTGGAGTGTTTTCGGGAGGTTTCGTCATAGATAAAAATGGATCAAAAGAATCCGATCCTCCAAAACCTTGCTGATCATCACCAATTTTATCTGGAAAGTCTGCAACGCCAAACGGATCGAATTCATCTTTAGTTACGCATTTATCATCAAGTTTTTCGATCGCTTCTTCGAATTTTGCTGCAAAAGCTTCGAATGCTGCTGTTTCTGTGAAAGGAATGGCATCTTTAACAATTTCTGGTTTCATCATGCTAGTATCAAATGGATCTGCAATAGCGCTGGCAATTGCGGCATCATCAAGTTTTGAATCAGATGAAAAAGTATCAACTGCAGTAAACGAATCTGAAATTTTTGTAGTAGTATTTAACAAATCTGTATCAGTCTTAGTATCGCTATCCATGAAGCCTCCGAATGGGTCAAAAGCTTTTGTACTATCTTCGTCTGATGGTTGAGCTGGTACAGAAGTCTCAAAGGGATTGAGAACTGACGGAGCATCCGATCTACTCATTAAATCATCCAATGATGAGGGCACTGACGCCGTTTTAACTTCACCCATATCAAAACCAACACATTCTTTAGTAACATCTGTTACTGAAGTTAAGTTAGAAGGTTCCGTATCTTTAGTAATTTCACTTCCTTCAAAAATATTTGCAAAAGGATCACTTTCGATTTTGTTTCGATTTTCCTTAGTGATAGTTGTAGAAACATCTACAGTTTGTGCCACACTTTTACTAATACCCCCACCGAAAAAATCGTCTAATTCTTCCATAGCCGTACTCATTTTTCGGGAACCTGGAGGCAACGATTTTTCGGCGTCGGAGATTTCATCCAAAGAAACTGCCTCTGAAACTGAACGAGAATGCACATTTTGTTCTGGAGATGTTATTGCATTTTTATCAATTGATTTTATACTGTCCCGTTTCTGATTAATATCAACTATACCATTTTGCCCGGTCAGAGTGCTTGATTGTGATGAGAATAAATCATCAGTTGGTGCGTTGTTAGTAATAATATCAAGAGATTTTTCTAATAAATTTACACTGGATGTTTCCACTTCGGGTTGTTTGGTTAAGAAATCAAATTGTTCACTAGGTAACTGTGTTTTCTTAGATAAATCTTGCTGCACAGGCTGAATTAATTCTGCGTCATTCGACTTTAAATTATCTTCCGGACCGAATCCAAAAGGATCGAATAAACACTGATCAACAACCGAGGGCTTCTCCTCCAATGAACTTTTATCCTCCAGAGATGTAGCAAATGCATCACCTAAGAGGTCAATATCCTGAGTAGATGTATCACTTTCAAATGGATTAGTGGTAGATTTCGGCTTCGATACACCAAATAAATCATTACTCTGAGAGTCTATATCAAAAAGTGCCTTTGAAAAACCAGACGGTTGAGTATCAGAATCAGACAAAAATGGATTACTCATTGTGTCTTCGCCGTTAATATCAACACTTTCAGAAACAATATTAGTAACTTCTACTGGTGTTGCTATTTCATTCTTTTCTAAATTAATTCCACCGTCGATTTTTTTTTCTAAAGTGAAATTATAATCCTCTTTAGAAACATCATTGTCTGCTATTTCTAAATTACCAAGTCTGTTAACAAAAGATGTATCAAATGGATCTGGTTCTTTGTCAATATGTTCTTCCTTAAGTGTTTCTTTGCCTAGTTCATCAAAACTACTTTCCTTTAAAACTGTATTAGAAGTATCAACAAACGAAGTATCAAATGGATCAGGTCCTTGTTCCTCGTTTTCTTCTAATGCTAATAAATCATTAATATTTAACTGAGCGGAAAACTGAGGAATAGAAGCGGTGTCTGCCTGAAATCCAAATTCGTCTAATAACGAAACTCCCTGATTGGGAGTTTCCGAAATTTTTGTAACATCTTCATTTAAAACTGTATCTTTGTCTGTCGATTTAACAGTATTAGTCTCTATTAATTTTGGTGGTGGTGGTCTAGGCGGCGGAGGTTTACCTGAAGCGTTATCTAAAGAACTGTCTACATTAAGCAAAGTAGAATTTGTATCGTCTTCGAAATGAACCCAAGATTGGGCAACCGAGGGCAAAACTTTACTTTCATTTTCATCTGAGTCAGAAAGATAATCTGGTTTATTAAGTTCAGCAATAGCACTACTGTCTTTTAATTTAGTTAGTGTTGTTTGGGTTTTTTCTACAGTGTCCTGCACACGTTGAGTTAATTGTTGAAAAAATTGCCACTCTTCAGTATTTTTATTAGATTGTTGCTCTTCACTGTTTCTTTCGGTTGTTGATGTCGTTTCGTGTGGGATATTTTCAAAATCATCCTCTTTATCAAGTCCCTTTTTATGACTTTTGATTTTCTTCTTGATAAAGTTCATTTCCTATCACTACTCTGCAGAAAAAAAAAGTTTATTTAAAACAAAATCTACAAAAATCTTTTTTAATTATATTGTGTTAGTTTAATTTAATTTTCTAAATCTTGCTTAACACAATAAAATCTTTAAAATTCTATATAAGTTTAATAATAAAATGATTTTTATGTTGATAATTGTATTTATAAAAATAATATTAAATTATCCAAATATATGTCTGCATCTTTAATAATAAATATTTAGCTTAAATTAAATTAAAATTCAGGTAATGATAATTAAATTTCTTATTTTTGAATAGATGACGTAACAGATGATAAACATAAAAAATTATTATTTTAGATATATAAATATTAGCGAATTTCGCCACTGAAGTGTCGATTTTTGGGTAAGTCGTGGAACTGTGTCTATCTTGTAAAATCATTAGAATTCGTCTCACAGATCGGTCGCATGAAACAGTCTACGCTTAACTAACCTGTATGGTTGACATTTACCACATTACATGCTTTTTAGGAATAAAATTCAACTGGAAAATCACTACGAGAAACGTCAGTTCATCGGTGTCTTAGCTAAAATGGCTTCTCCTCTTCCCATAGTACATCTGGTATAATGGGGAGAAAAATCAATAAAAGACACCAGATCGCCTCTATTGGCAGCAAGCTAGACTTCTTTGTGGAAGCGTCATTTATTTAATCCACGGAATAAATCGCTTATTAAAGAATTATTGAGAACTTTTAACATAAATTAAAAGTTTAAAAAGTTTTATTAAAAAATTTTCGTCACCAAGGAAAAAAAACAATGTATATAATCAATTTCCATTAAAAATTCTCATTATTTAATATTTAAATGGAATTATATGCTTTACATATTACTTTAAGAAATTAATGTTTAGTTATATATAATTCTATTTAGTCATTAGATATTTAGTATAAAAAAGAAGAAATCGCGAATCTTACAGTACCAATATATATGTAGCTTTAAGTAACATTTCCTTTCAAATTTGGTATTATTATTCTTGACTTCGAAAATAAACTTTAAAAATAAATATATATTTTCTTGTTAAAATTAATTAAGTCAAAATTTATAGAAATAATAATACTTGTTGCAATAATAACATACAAAGTTTTTTGCTTTTACAAAATTTATACAAAACTTAAGTCATTAGAAACTTATTATTACAATTATTAAACACATTACCTAAATAATTTATTTGAAAATCTTATCTTAAAATACACTTTACAAAATTACTGAAATGTTATTTAGGATAAGCGACAAACTCGTTACACAAATACAGATTTTTCTCGTCTTTAATTCCATTTAATAAATATATTAAACTCTCGATTATTATTGGAAAAGTTGAGTCATCTTTCAAACAGCTACTTTGCTATCCGGAAAATTTTAATAGTGACATTATCACGAAGGGTGCGGTTATTTATACGTAAAATTATAGATCAATAGCATAATAGCAGTTTTGTAGAAGCTGTTTATCTATACGGTCTATGAAACGTAATGAAGAATAAAATAATATAGACAAAATATAAAAAGGCTTTAAATGACTACAAAAAATCTTAGTATAATAAGCAAAATTCGTACTTGAAAATTTTTCATTTTGATCGTAAGTTATTGCCTATTAAATATTTTTACTGCAAGTAATATATTATACCAAAACAACTTTCCCAATAATATTCACGCTATCGATTTGTTCCGCTACGAATTTCTAATATGAAAACTAACACCAAATAATTTAGGTCTACATGGTGTATTGAAATTAAAGCTAGCCTTAATATATAATACAATATAATTAAATTTTATCGATTTATTCAGTTTAAGCGATTTTAAATAAACATATCAGGTAATAGAAAAATATCTGTGTAACTACTTATAGGCTAAGAAACAATTTTCATCTGTAGATGATTTGTAATTTATATAAACAGAATGATTTTAACCTTTTAAAGTTAAATAAAACGGATTACATAAAATAAATTATCTCTACCATAAAATTTACTTCCATTTTTAATACTTAAATTTAAAAAATAATTTATAAAAATTTAATAATATTAAACGATCAATTCGCATACTTAAAGCAATCTTTAATACGACTTTTCTTAATGTCGTTCATTTCTTTTTAATTTAACTGTATTTTAGGTTAAATCTAAGTACAGTTTTTTCTTACTGTATCCTTGATCTGTATTTATATATAATTGATTATATATAAAACAAATCAAGATTTGATATATTTAGTATGAATAAAATTATTTGGAATTAAGTCTAATATTTTCGGCTTATCTTCAGAAGTATGGTACTTAATATTAGGCTTGAAAAAACAATCAAAATGTTGAATTCATTTTCAAATTTAAGAATTTAATTAATCTTGGTTGAATAATTAATTTATTATTGATAATTAATATATTTATAGAGTAAGAGCTTTTACATGCAAATATACTGTACTACAAAAAGTACATTTATTCCAAGTAAATTCAAAATGAGCATTATCTTAGTTTGAAATTTCAGAATTCCATCGAAAATTCGTAAATTAAATATATTTTTTATTAGCATGTGTTAAAATTTTAGGAGTTGTGATAAAATTAATATTTTTTTTTTTCTTTAATTTAAAGATAAGACAAACACGTGAATGGTTTTCTTTTAAATTTTGTTTCAGTAACCAAAGCAGATTTTTTTGTTCACTATTTGTAATTCAAATCTAATTCGTTTTTGATATTCGAGTTAAACAGTTAAATGGCAGTAATTAAGAATAAAAATATATATTTATTATACTTTTTTAATTAAAATTATTTTTTCTAATTAGAAAATTGTATATGTAATTAAAATATTTTATGTATTAATAACTTATACTTGTACCAATCAAAATTCACGAATTAAATACATTAATACTTAACACTATCCTGAAATTGAGTTTATAGTTAATTTTAAAAATTTAATTTATTTCACATATAAACTATTCGAAAATCAAGTATTAATCGAAAGCTACCGTAAAAAACTTTTTAATAACTTTTCTAAAAATTAATAATGCTTGACGCGATTTATGAATTCATAAATATTAATTAAATGTTTCTTTGTATTCATCATATTTGATAAAAAATTATTTAATTAAGGAAATCGATTAATAATGAATTTATACAATAATATAGACAAGGAAATCGTTCGATTTGATTTGAGTAATATTTATGATTTAAAAACTACTAACTGGTTTTTCTTTTCATTTTACTTAATTTAAAACTGTAAATAAATTTTGAAAGTCTCTTTCAACTAATTAATATTAAGATGTTAGTTTGTTATTACATCAGAATTGATTGCTTTATTTTCTCAAGTAATTGCAAACAATTCTATTCCTACGCCTTGAAATGAAACAATTGCTTTTTACATTATTCCAATAGCTTGCTGATGATTAATATTGTGAACTATTTCTAAATTAAAAACTTGTTCCAGAGTAGCTTTACTCTACAAACTGAAGCAATAGTATAAGAATCGAAAAGTTACTTCAAAATCAGTTTCAAAAATTTCAAAAGTTATTGTCTATTGTTGCATGCTGACGTTAATATCTTTTAATTGCTCTGCTTGGATAAATATGGCCCTACATTATTATTATTCTTTAGAACAGGGATAGGCAACCCGTAACTCAGCAATATTTTTTGCGGCCCGCATCGCATTAAATATAAATAAATATATCAATTTCCCAGCTTAAGAAAGTATGCAGCAAAAATTCAAACGTTATTTTCTACAATTATGTATGTGAATAGTTTTTCCGCAATGAATTTAGTAAAAATTAAAACAAGAAACCGACTAACAGACATATCGAAACTACAGTAATTTAAAACTAGCAGTGACTAATATTTAACCAAATATTTCCGTTTACATCGGTTCCAAAAGCTAAATTAAGTATACTTATGCTATATATGAATAAGTAATTGTGATTTACCGACTTTCCTCCTCTTTTCTCTTGAATGCGGCCCGCGTCAGTATAAAACTTTTGAAATGCGGCTCTTACATAGATAAAGGTTGCCCATCCTTGCTTTAGAAAACACATTTAGGCTAAGTTTGTTTGTTTGTTTAGTTATGGCAACGCAACAGTTGGGCGATCTGCCTAGGAGGATGCCTTTCGGGAGGTCTTTTTAAGGGTAACTGGTAGCTATTCAGGCGTTACAGACGTGGAGAAAACCGGAAAACTCCACGTGACCAGTCCGTCCGAGCAAGGCGCAAACCCACGACCGAACTCCCAGTGTTCAGGGTACGCAGACCGCTTGGCCACTGGTAGGCCTAAAACTAGGGTTTCTCAAACGGGATCCCGGTTGTTTTTTTAACCCGGGAAATACCGCAAATTTCTTAAAAATTCACTTTTTTCTTATTTCGTGTTAAAGTTGAGGAAATTTTGCAAATAGAAAGTATAATTAACTCAAACTGTCAGAATACATTTGTATTTATTAATTTTAAACCTACTAAGTTTTTTAAATTTTTGCTCGTTATGGCATGTTACAAATGCTCAATAATCAATACGTAGCTTATTTGTGGCGTGACTCTGAAAATTCTTTACTTGTCAGAACCTATAATATCTGGAATAATTGTACTTATGCTGTCTTAATTTTTAACCATGCCCAGTAGCATCAATAACTGCGTAACGCCAAATTGTGCAAATTGGGCAAGGATACCAACGAGTACGAAGTCTACAAGTATGAAGTTTTTCTTCATAAATCTGATTATTAAAGCCAAAAACGAATTGCCAAATTATCGGGCTATGAGCTTGATGTTTCTATTAAAGCAGCCGCGGTAGACAAATCAAGAATACTAGAGAGCAAAAGAAGTATTACAATCTCGAAAACGAACTAGAAATCTTCCAGGCTACGGGTGAAAAAAACTCATAACATCCGTCTTCTATTAAATGCATTAAAGACGATTCCACCCACATGAATTGAATCGGAAAGAGCATTCTTGGTAGCGGGACTTTTCGTTACTAAAATAAGAATCAAATTGAGTGATCGGGGTATTGACCATCTTTGTTTTTTAAAAT